TTATTTTTTTAAAAGATAGGACAGAAAGTGACTTCTATACTTTTAAAATTTATGCAAAACTTAGGAGGTCTTTAGACTGAGCCAACTATATTACAAATTTTTTTTTATTCAAAAATACATTAATATATTTAGCTAGAGTTCCCAGCTGCTCTAGAGAGTGAGTATCAGTCAATCTTTTGGGTCTAGAGTAATGCAAATTCTTATTCGAATTATTCGTTTTATTCGTTATTGGAATTATTATTTTATTATTATTAGCAAATAATTCTTATTCGAATAATGACTATTTGCTAGTAGAAATAAATAAATAAATTACTATTATTATTATCACTACAAAGAGAAAAAACCAATTATTACAACTGTTATTATTAATTGACTAAAGAAAAGAAAAGAAAAGAAAAAATGTCAATTACTTCTGCTACTACGATTATTATCACTGCAAGGACTATGAAGGAAAAATAGAACTGGCAAAAAAATTTTTTTAATTGGATTGGATAGTGCATGTTGTACGTGAAAATGAAATTATGTGAATTCAAATTTACATATGTGAATTCAAATTAGCCAATCAGAATTTCACCCCACTCCATAATATTTCAATTTCACATACAAGCAAATTTACCAGTTAAAAATCTTCACGCGATTAAATTAACTGGTCACATACTGTGTAACATTTTGCTCATTTTAAGTTACTGGCATAAGAATTTGCCATAATGTCTGGCTCACTGTTGTCTATAACTAATGTTATGACTAATGTTGCTATTTGATGATTGTTAACCGTCAACATTCAAGGGACAGTCAATTTATGTAAAATTATTATATTAATTACTTATCTAGAAATACGATCCATTGGAAATATAAGTTGTGCATTTCTAATTTGACGCATTTCTTTTCGAACCCCTATAAGAATGCGGAATGTTTGGTCATGCATTCCTCCGGCCTATACATGTATTCTAACTATTTTTCCTTGGATAACATTTACAGCACAAATTTTTTCTGCAACACGTCCTGCGCGATCGATTCTTTTGCTTGCATTGATTTCCCACAAGTTATAATGATGTAATGCAAATCTTTCATCAAATGAGCGGTTAGATTCGGGTTTTTGCTTAAGCCTTTCAGACTAACGCCACAGAATTTATTTCCACGCAGTTACTAGTCCAATGTCTCTCCATTCCAATGTGGTGGTGATTTCAAATATTCTTAGTCCTTTGTCCAGTCGATCACGCGAATAACAAATTCCAATTCCAATTCTAGGTGCATATAACCCTCCATCTAGAAATCGTACCAGTTTTCTAGCTTCATATCCAAGACATTTCTTACTATCATCGGACATAAGATCATTCTCTCTGAAATATACTGGGTGAGACCAAATTCTTTCTTTCCAATCAGCTGGGGTTTCATTAGGATGGACTAAATGCATATGGAAATACTTGCATCACTACATGCGGAACCACATATATCGTATCTGCCTCATGAGATTTTATCCAGAGTTATAAGGGTAATGACTTCATTTTTGTGTAAATTTGACATATTTTGTAAGTGATTATTGGTTTTAAGCGAAGAGGAGGACAATATGTATACTACAAACTAGTAATTCCTTAAATCTAAAGTATTTTTGATTTATCATTGTCAAAATTATCTTACATCTAAAAAACAAAACAAATAAATTAGTTTAATAAGTCAAAATTAAATTTTCTCACTTAAAATTATTACCTTGATTTTTTTGTCTTTCTTGTCTTAATTGTACAATAGTTCTTAAATGTTGATTCTTTTGTATTCATCTTGTCTATATTTTAAACTAAGCATTTCATACCATATTTCCCCAATAGAAAACCAATCATCAACCAATTACTCAAAGATACATAATCTTTTGTATTAGATAGATCCAAAGATATGAATTATTAATATTTAATTTTGCAATGATAAAGATTTTTTTTCTTTTGTGAAAAAAAAGATAATTACTTATTAAAAATTCATTAGGAATATTTTGAGAATTCTTATCACAATTTAACCAAGTAGCTTTGTATATAGTTGCCGAACCATTTTCGCCTATCTTTTCAATATCTTTTGAATCATCATCATAATATCCATCGAAGATAACATTCATTATTATATGACTTTGAATTAAATTGTATATATACTTATGATTAAATTATCTGCCCAAAAATTAAAATTTTTTTTGAATCTTTATTATTATGATTTCATTAAATATATAAAAATGTACTTGTCATTCAAATACGCCACCATTCCATCATGTTCTAAAAATTTAAATCAATAGTCAATTGAATAGTTTTCCAAGTTAATTATTTTGTTCATAAATACATTTCATCTACCAAAAATGAGAATTATATTCCTGATATAATAGCAAATTTGAATCAATAATGCATTCAAAATAATAATAATAATAACACTATTGTTATCCTCTAATATTGTTCCTATCCTCTTAGTACTTAATAAAATATTGATGACATCTGAAATTGTAATTGTTATTAATTTGTAAATATTTTACGTCAACTAAACTTTCAATCCTTACAAGTAAAAAAGTGAATTTTTTCTAATCTCTAGCCTTCAAAGAATTCTTAACAGACTTTGCAGAGCGCATTTTAATATATATATTCACATTGTTATTTTGCCTGTTCCCCTTCTAGTTGTGAAAGAATCTTGAGATGAAAGCAATATTTTCAACCTATCTTAGAATAACAAAAATTTAAGTTAGCTTCTTGTTTTAACAGTTGTTTGAAGGTTCTAGTTTGGTTTCACATTTTTAAAAATGACAATACTGGTTTTTTTAAGATGGGTATTGATAAATTTACATTTAGAATTGTATATAATAATAACATGTTATAAAATATTTACTCTGCGTAGTAACTTGTTAGAAATTAAAATTTTAAAACATTGGGTATATACCTTTTTGATCTGCAATTGGCCCAATAATAAGAGAGTAATATTATGGCGACTTATGGTGAGCGAGCTTTAAAATTTCGTAACGAGACAGCACGAAAATTATTTGTAGTAGAACGTAAAAAAACCAATTTAAGTTTACGATGTTACTACAAAAAAAAACTGTTTCTTGGGATGGTTGATAAATATTTGTCGTTTGAAAGTTAGCGAATTAAAGTAATGAGTTAATAAACGAATGAGTTAGTGATTGTTTTACGAAATTGATGTATTTGATCAATTACAAAAGTCAAAGGCTAAACGTGATTTTTTTGATTTTTGAAGAAAGAAGGAGAGAAAATTTCCCATATTTGTTTATAACAACTGTTTATATTATATAGTTATATAATATAATATTTTTGTTGTCATTATTATAATAACGAATGTATAGGAAATACTGTGAAACTCCAATATTCCAAAGGGATTTATAAAATAGTAGAATGGGCAGATATTACAAATGCACATTCATTATCAGGTGAAGGTATTGTATTAGTATTAAAGGAAGTTGGGTTACCATTAGGCAGAGGATTATTAGTAAAGGTAACTTAGCAACCGAATCATACACTAAGGAAACTATAAGAATGGCATGTGATCATGATGATTTTGTAATTGGATTTATTTATGTCAATTCTCCTGGTAGTAGCAGTGATCCAAAAGATGATGACGGCGATGATGATGACGGAGGAAGGGGAATTCATATATATGTTGCCAGGAGTTAGATTAGATGTTTCAAAGATAAAATTGGTCAACAGTATATAGTACGCCAGAAGAAGTTATAACAAATAAAACTGATATTATTATTGTTGGTCGTGGAATTTATGCAAGTGGTAAAGATGTAGTTGATGAAGTGAAAAGGTATAGAGATACAGGATGGAATGCTTATTTAGATAAACTAAGAATATCAGGAAAAGATCAAATGGTATAAAAAAAAAGAAGGTTTGAGGATGTCGACAAATAACTCCCATATTAATATATATTAATTTTTTGATGACACGTGATTAAAAATATTTTTGTATTAGATCACTCGCTGATAAAAAATTTTATAACGTGCATTATTTATTATCGCCTATCACTATCTCATTGTCATCAAAAGAAAAAAAATGTTAAAATCGATTATTAGAAAACCTTTTCCAATTATTTTTAATGGAGTAAAACAAGTAAGTAATAAATAATCTTTGATTAGTGATTAGTGTAAAATATATGGTAAATTGACATGTTTGTTTTTTATTTAAAAAAATTAGAATTTTCTTCGTAACTTAACTTCAATTATACCGCCAATTGCCGAGAACACCATTGTAAATATAAGCTATTGTTTTAAATAAAATATAAAATAATAATTAATCAATAAATAATGACATGTATGTATGCGTGCATACATAAATCATTAATAATTATTTAAATCATATTTAGAAGAAAACCACTAAATATGGAGGAAAGTATACTGTCACATTGATCCCAGGAGATGGTATCGGGCCAGAGATTGCAGAATCAGTTAAAACAGTATTCAAAGAGGCCGAAGTTCCAATTGAATGGGAACAACATAATGTTACTGGATATACTGAAGATAGCGATTTGTTATTTCAACAAAGTATGGAAAGTTTAAGAAGAAACAAAGTTGCATTAAAAGGTATGTTTCGATATTGTTTTTTTGGAATTATTATAAATAACGAATGAATTATATTAAATTTTTTTCTTATCAATCAATGGATGAATTGGTTGATTGATTGGTTGGTTGGTTGATTGATTGATTGATTGATTGAAGGAGTAATTTATACATCCACAAAAAAAGACGATCATCCATCTTTTAATGTTGCGATGCGTAAAGATTTAGACATTTATGCATCATTGGTATTAATAAATAATATTAAAGGATATCCAACACGTCATAAAGATGTAGATTTTGTTATTATTCGTGAGAATACTGAGGGAGAATATGCAGGATTAGAACATCAGGTACTTTACATACAAGTAAAATATACATAATTTATAAATGCACTAATAATAATGACGATGATTGTTATTATTATTTGTTTTTGATAGTCATATCCGGGAGTAATAGAATCACTGAAAATTACAACTAGAGAAAAAACAGAACGAATTGCACGATTTGCATTCGATTTTGCGCTTAAAAATGGACGCAAAAAAGTTACATGTGTTCATAAAGCCAACATTATGTATGATTTTCTTAAACAATAGTTTAGAGATAATAAATATATTTTATATTCTATATTTATAGCATGTATATATATGACAAAAAAATGCTAATCACATCCATTTACATTTGTATTTTTATATAGGAAACTTGGAGATGGATTATTTTTAAATACATGTCGTAAAGTTGCAGAAGATTATAAACCATTAGGAATTGAATTTAATGATATGATAGTTGATAACTGTTCTATGCAACTTGTGTCCAAGCCACAACAATTTGACGTTATGGTAATGCCTAATTTGTATGGAGCAATTGTAAGCAACATCGGTGCGGCATTGGTTGGTGGACCGGGCATTGTTCCAGGTGTAAATATAGGTAGAGAATATGCATTATTTGAGCCGGTAAGATTTTTATTTTTTTATTTTTTTTTATAAAAAAAGAATATATTTATAATTTATAAAAATTATTAGGGAGCACGTCATGTTGGTAGAGATATTCAAGGAGATAATAAAGCCAATCCAACAGCATTTATTCTTTCAGGAGTATTGTTGTTAAGACATTTAGGACTTGATGATGATGCTAATAGAATTTATAATGCAGTAATTAAAGCCGTACTACATGGATCGGTATGATTTATTGATGTCTAAATTATGTGAATTTATTTGAACTACATGGTTAATTAATTATTATTTTATTTTTCCTTTCCAAAAATATAATTTAGGCCAAAACTCATGATATGGGTGGCAATTCAACAACAACAGAATTTACACATGAAGTTATTTCTAATTTGTAGAGAAATAAAATATTATTAATTATTTAATTATTTATTATATTTTTTAATAATAATAAACTAATATAATATTGTGTAACGATTTTAAATTTTTTTCTTGCAGTGTTATTCATAATTGATATTGTTGAACTCAATTTTTGTAGAATTATATTTAATATTAATACGGAAATGCCGTGGATCTCAAAGTCACTTCAAATAAATCTGATCAAATCGAATTGAATCATAATTCGAATCGTAATCCGAATTTAAAAGAACTTGATTGATCTTTGATCTGAGTTTAAATACATGTAATGGTGTTATATTTTACCTGTAAAGTAACTTTTTGAGTATTCTGTGATCAAAGCCTGACAATTTCTTGCCGATATGCAAAAAATATAATAAAAACATTCATTGACCAAACCAACAAAATCATCTTTTAATTTGAAAGCTCATAATAATAACTGCTGCATCTTCCATCTTCTTTTTACGCTAATGAATTTAATAAAATAATTAAAAAAAAGTGAAATATGAAGCTGACAATAACTGACAAAAAGAATTGCATTTGAAGTTTTTTTACTACTTTAAAGTAGGGTTTAATTGTCCATTTGGTTATCAGAGTGGCATGGAACTCTGAGGTTTGTTAACAACGGGTTGTATAGAAAATTTTCAATTTCTTTGATTTCAAATAACATTTATTCTGTATTCGTTGTCATTCATATTCACAATTAATTCCATCGCCCGTAATTAGTTTCGTCAGCCGTAATTAATTTCGGGATCACGTTTTTTAAAGAGGGAAAGTGGTAATTGATTACGATAATTACGTATTTACGGTAATTAGACATTACATCCCATGTATACTATTTGAATAAATTAATAACAATAAAACGAATAATTAGAATAAAGGAATAAAACAAATAATTCGAACAAACGAATAAAACGAATAATTCGAGTAAAATGAACAATTCGAATATACGAACAAAACGAATAATTCGTATAATCAACTTCTTTGAGTCTTCTTCACTTGATGCATATTCTAAAATTTTATTCAATTCGTTATCTGATTTGTTTTTTACTTATTTCGTCTTGCCGTTTTTTTAATTGGAAAAATGTAAAACTGTATTAGTATTAGTATATATAAAAAAAATATAATTTGTTCTGGTCACGTGTTTAGAAGATATCACTAAATAGGAAAGATCGTCTTATGCCAAATTTCATTTTGATCGACAAATTCATGGGTTGATACCTAGAACTAAGAAAATCTGATTATAAATATTACCATTAATATATTACAATAAAAAAAACCAATAAATATTTTAGATCTTTGATTTTTTAGATAACAATTCAACATAAAACTTTCTTTAAAAATCTCAACAATCAAATAAATAAATCAAAATGGGAGGCGGTGATCTTGTAAGTCTTGTTTTTTTTTCAAATATGAAGGGTTGGGTTTTTTTTAATAAAAAAAAATACAATTAAAAATCATTAAACTTATGAAATTATGAACTTTTTTAGAATATGAAAAAATCATGGCATCCACTCTTGATTAAAAATCAAGAGAGGGTGTGGAAAGAAGAACAAAAGGCGGCAGAGGAAGGCAAGAAGTTAGCTCAGCTTAAAAAAGAATTAGAAGAAGAAAGATATCTTCAAGAACTAAAAAAATTACAAGAGGGAAAGTAAGTAGCAGTGTTAATAATAATAATAATCATATCCAAAAATATAATTAGTAATTTTTTTTTTAAAAAATAAAATAATAACATCATTTTATTTTTAGAAAATTATAAGATTATTAGTTATTGTTATTAGGTTAGAGTTAGGTAGTTTGACAGTTAGTTAGTTAGCTAAAATAATCATTGGCTTATCAAAAATTACATATTACAGGACATATATATATGTAATTTTTTTTCATTTAATAACTTATTTTCTTTAATATATATATTAGGGGGGGAAACGAAAGATTAGAATGGATGTACGCTTCTGCCGCTAGTCATTCAAATTCAGCCAAAGCACAAGAAACAGAAGATTTTCTTCTTGGTAAAAAACGTGTTGATTCATTGGTTGAACAAGGAACATCCTTGAGCAGGGTAAACAATAATAATAATAACAACAATAGTTTTTTTATTGATTATTAATTTTTTTAAAAAATAAACTGCTTATACTTTTTTTTTTTGCATATTTAAATCATTTAATTACATACAGTTATCAGCGGATTCAAAAGATATCTTTATGGATACTATGAACCCAAATGCAAATTCATATAAAGATATTCAATCAAAAATTCGTGATGATCCTTTATTTCACATTAAAAAAATCGAACAAGCTCATATTAAAGCCATAGTCAACAATCCCCTTAAATTAAAGAGACTTCAAGAGGTAAAAAAATGTTTTTTAGAATAGAGAAATTTTGATAAATAATTAACATATAACTAATTATTATTGTTATATTATCCAGAAAACAAAAAAGAAGGATAAGGATAAAAAGAAAGACAGGAAAGATAAAAGGCACAAAAAAATAGATAAAGAAGAAAGGAAAAAAAAATTATCAGATAATAATAAAAAATATTATTAAGATTTTTATTCAATTTTACTTTTTTTTTTATTATAAACTTTAAAATAAAATGAATATTTAAAACAAGAGTTCTTTCACTACATATACATTTAATATATAGTATGTATGTATTTGAATTCCAAGGTGTTCAAATCAAAAAAAATAGTTTGCATCACAGAATAAATTATGTTATATAGTAGTAATAGATAATTTTGATGAAATATTTATTTTTAGAAAAAAATTAGGTGTGTATGTGTGTGTATATGCACGCCTGGAGACTATTTTAAAACCTCTTCTTTCAAAACCATCATGAATTAAAAAGATTCACATTCAATAAATAATTTGTAAAAAATAACAAAATCTAACAACAAAAATATAAAATCAAACAAAATCAAAATAAATAAATAAATAAATAAATAGATTGTCTATTTATATACATACATATATATATTTAGTAAACTCTTGCTTTAGGAGGAACACTTTTACATTCATTTTCATCCAAAGTTTTTGTTGCTACAGCTCTATAACTCAAAGTTACTTCACCAGTTTCTTGATCTTGCCGAGATAATGTATGTTTCATCCATTCTTTATCATTTCTCGACTAAATAAATGAATAAATATATAAGTCGTTATTTCATTAAATTATTATTTTTTTTTAAAGAAAAAAAATAAATACCTGATAATCTTCTCTAGCATGTGCACCACGAGATTCTTTACGAGCAGCAGCAGCATTCATTGTTTGTGCTGCATTTGTCAAAAGATTTTGTAATTCAAGTGTTTCAACCAAATCAGAATTCCAAATCATCGATCGGTCTGTAACTTTAACATCTTTAAATGACTTAAAGACATTATCGATATTCTTCACACCTTATTATTGATTTTTAGGAGGAATAGAAATAAAAATATATATTACAATCACTACATGCATGTATTTATATGTTAATTTAGTACAAAAATTTATTATTATTATTATTTACCTTCATCTAAAACTTTCTGTGTTCTAAATACAGAAGCGTCCCTTTGCATAACTTTTTGCATGTTTAATCTAATATCAGCAGTTGGCAAACTTCCATCTGCATTACGAAGTTTGTCAAGATTCTCAATTGAACTAGCACCAGAATCTGATGACAAAGGTTTATGAGGTGTTCCTGGTTCCAATGTGTCACGAATATGATGTGCACAAGCACGTCCAAACACAACTATATCAAGTAGCGAGTTGGCTCCTAATCTATTTGCTCCATGAACTGATACACTTGCTGCCTCACCTGCTGCATATAAACCAGGAACAACTTTATCCCTACCATTCTATAAATGAAAAGTCTGTTTATTTGAAAATTTTAAAGATAAAACAAAGAAAAAAATCTTCTCTCATCTAATTTTACCTCATCAACAGTCAAAGCTTCACCTGTATAACGAGTTGGAATACCACCCATATTATAATGAACAGTTGGTAACACTGGTATTGGATCTTTGGTGACATCGACACCTGCAAAAATAGCAGCAGTTTCTGAAATTCCTGGCAAACGTTCATGTAATACTTCAGCTGGCAGATGCGAAAGTTGTAGGAATATATGATCTGCATCAGGACCAACTCCACGACCCTCCCTGATTTCAATCGTCATTGAACGTGAAACAACATCACGTGATGCTAAATCCTTCGCAGATGGTGCATAACGTGCCATAAAAGGTTCACCTTGACTATTTAATAGATATCCACCTTCACCTCTAGCACCTATTTTTTATTGTAATAAAAAGGTTTATAATTTTACCAAAAAAAAAAAAAAAGCACCTCGAAAATTAAAAATAAAAATCAAATACCTTCAGTAATTAAACAACCAGCACCATAAATTCCAGTAGGATGAAATTGAACAAATTCCAAATCTTGTAAAGGCAAACCAGCACGAGCAACCATGGCATTTCCATCACCAGTGCAAGTATGAGCACTTGTACACGAGAAATAGGTACGCCCATAACCACCAGTAGCTAAAATTGTTTTATGAGCACGAAAACGATGCAAAGTCCCATCCTCTTGATTAAGGGCTATGATACCACGGCAAACATTATCCTCCATTAATAAATCAAGTGCAAAATATTCAATAAAAAAATTTGTATTATGTTTTAATGATTGTCCATATAATGTGTGAAGAAGTGCATGACCAGTTCTATCTGCTACGGCAGCACAACGATAAGCCTGGCCACCTATACACATACATACATACATGCGCACATATTTATTAGAATATAAGAAAAATTACAAAACATTTTATACGTATATTTATATTATGTATATGTATACCTTCTCCAAAGCGTAAACTTTGACCGCCAAAAGCTCTTTGATAAATCTTGCCATCTTCAGTTCTTGAAAAAGGAACACCATAATGTTCAAGTTCAATCACTGTCCTAGGTGCTTCACGACACATGTAATGTATTGCGTCTTGATCACCTAACCAATCACTGCCCTTTACCGTATCATACATATGCCATCTCCAATCATCCTCAGTCATATTACCTAGAGCAGCATTGATACCGCCCTTTTAATTTTTTTTAAGCTTATTCATTAATAACGTACATATTGTTGAAAGAATTTCTTTTTCTTTTTTTTTTTTTAAATAAAATATATATCAATCAATCAATTAAAAATCACCTGTGCAGCGACTGTATGAGATCTTGTAGGAAATAATTTTGTAATGCATGCAGTATTAAACCCCGCCTCGGCAAGACCAAAAGCAGCACGAAGACCTGCTCCACCTGCTCCAACAACAATCGCGTCATATGTATGATCGATCACTGGATATTTATTTGATAACGTAGGCTAAAAAGAATCATTATTAATTAATTCTTTAAAATTTTAATTAATTGAATTAATGAATGGATGACTTACTGGTGCCTCTTTAGCTCTTAAAGGTTGAGTAGCTATCACCCTAAAGGTAGGTCGCGAGGTGTGAAAGGTGCGAGTTAATATAGAAGTTGAACTCTAGGTTTTTTATCAAAAAACTTAATTCAGAGATGATCTATTTTATTTACACACACATATATATAAAATAACTTGATTAAAGATTATTTTTTTTACCGCTTTTAAATAATTGAAATTAATTGCTTTAAGCATCTTTATTTATAATCGTTATTAGAAAAAAAGTTTTTTTTGATGATCTTCATGATGAAAAAACAAAAAAGGAAATATAAAAAACAGATTGACAGGGAATTTTTTTGTGGGCTGATATGTTTTTCAGTGCAACAACCGCCATCGCTTTCTGCGACACATGAAAATACTTGTATTACTCGAAGAAAACCTTCAATTAATATAACTAATATAATAATAATAATAATAATAATATAACAATGCTCTGAAGACCGGTTCCAGGACCATTGTTTTTTAAAAGACATTATAACATATGTGGTTACTATATTCCTGTATAAAAAAAAAAAAATCATAATGTTATTTTGTATCCATGACTTTAAAACATAAAATTGTGATTATTTAACTCACATGTCAGTCATTAAATCACTTGTTGAATCGTTGGCAAAAGAGAGATTTGAGAATTAACTTAAAGGATTATTTTATTCCCTTGGATCAACCTTAAAACTTTTGAGTCTCAGATTTTATCGAATGAACGTGTGAGTCTTTATTAAAATGGCACCATATCGTCCTTTTGAATCTGTCAAATAAGATCTCGAGTTATCAATTTTGAAAATTACTTGATTGAAGCTCGCAATACACCTTTAGATTAATAATCTCTCTTATTGTCATTATCTCATTTATTTGCACAATATTATTTATTAATATTGTATTTCGATTTTTAACTAGGGCTCTGCATACCCGGGACATGCCCGTGTCTAACAAAAAATTTAGGGTACAGGAACGACATGGTTTTAAATTTTTCGGCACAGTCACAGACACAGGCATGGACACGGGTGTCTAATACAGTAATAAAAGAAAGCTGGGTACTGGAATTGGAACTGGAACTAGTGCTCAGCATAATGCAAATTGACTTAATACAAATTAAACAACACAGTTGAAACACAATGTAACAAAACATCAATAAATAAATAAATAGGATAATGTCAATAAGAGAGATTAATCCAAAGGTAGGTAGGTGTGTTGTGAAAATTCAATAAAGGGACTTGTACTAAAGGTGATATGGCACCATTTTAATAATGGCTTGAATTTAGAATTATATTTGATTTTTTCTATTCCATTTTGGATTTCGATTTTTGATTTTAGTTGAAAATAACCCTTTAAATTAATTCTATTCAAACACAAACACAAGTCAAATCTCTTTTCTGCCAATAATTCAATAAGTGATTTAATGACATGTGAGTTAAATAATCTTTATGATTAAATAATAACCAGTTTTTAACCGGTTTTTAAAACTGATTTTGGAATCAGTATTAGGTCGGTTTTTAACCAATCTTGGAACCTGTTCCAAAAGACTGGTCTTTGGAACTGAACCAGTAAAAAAAGGGTAATCTGTCCATTGGATAAATTAAATAAAGTAGCAGTCATCAGGTTTATTGTGAGATATTGATGGGTGATCAACCACTTATTAAAAAGGATTAGGAATGAATATGTTACACTAAAAAAATTACCTCAATTCTTTATTATTATATCACGAGTTGAAGATGTCGTCTCCTTCCCAGCCTAAAGAATTCACCTCGCCAACTTATACTCTATCCTTATGTAAAAAATACTTTTACATAGGTTTAATATTTTTACCGTGGTTATGGTTGGTCAACATTATTTATATGTGGCCAAACACAAAACGTCAAGATATAGGCAGAGAAATCAGAAAATGTATGAGACTTTTTTATTAAATTTTTCAATCAATCATTCATTATTGATTGGACTTATTTATCGTGTATATTTATAACTCTTTCAGATCTTACATTTTCCGCAATTGGTGTAATGTTTTGGCTTATAGTATCAATGACTTGGTTCATTATATTTGTTAATAAAAGAATGTCTTGGGGTGAATTTGCAGACAATATAATAGTTGTAAAACTTAAGGGTATCTAAATAGTTGGCTAGTTATTTTCCGCGTATAATATATTTATTTTATAATTTTAATATTTTGTTACTTTTTGTAAAATTAAAAAAATGCAATGTAATTAATTTAATTAACTTCTTAATTTCTTGTTACTTCGAGGTGACTTGGATCCATTTGTCTAAAAAACAATTATATATTATATATAATATATTATCATCCGAGTAAATCCAATCAATCAATCAATCAAACAATCAATTCAATACTTACCAATGAATTGTTGAAGTTAGAGCTATCGATGATGCTCGATTTTGCTTTTTGCAAGGTTACTTGTTTTGTCTTCAATTCATTTTCTTGTTTTTCAAGATTTTTTTTTAAATCTAACAAGTTTTGAATAGCTTTTTGTAATTCTGTTCATTTACCACAAACACTTTCAGTTGGTACAGTGGGAAGATACCCTAGTCCACATTCCTGGAAAGTCTTTTGTACTTTTGTTAATGAGTTTTGTTTTGGAACTGATATTTTTTGACTTCTAACTGATGCTCCTATTGGGAATTTTTCACACCGTGTATGTATAGGTATTATGGCTTCAACTTTTGAATGAGCTAAAAATGAAGAGGAAGTAATTATTAGAGAAATAACAAAAGATTATTAGAAAATTAGAAAAGTAAAATCTTTATCTACGTTCTGATACAGTAGTGGTTGAAGTTGATGTATGATAATGTTGGTTTTATTGTTGTCTTTTAAGCAAATCCCCAGCAGATAGATTGAAAGCTCTTGATGATCCATTAAATTCAACAATAGGTGTTAATGGACCATTATGAAATGATTTCTTTCTTTTTTGCTATATAAATTATTTTATTATAATATTATTTAACTATTAATGATTATTTTACCGGATTTCTCGAAGGCTTAATAATTTCGTCACTTTCACTTTCTTTCCTAATTTTCTTTTCAATTTATTCAATATGCCCATATTCCTTTAACAATGACTCTTCTTCCTATAAATATATCACAATTATATGATGGTTATTCTACAAATACAATTACAAATACAAATATAAATACAAATACAAATACAAATACAAATACAGATACAAATACAAATATAAACGATAAACATATAATAAATATCCATACTGCTATTTGTTTCGAAGAACGGTTATACAAATGACGTAAATTTTTTTTTCTTTTTTCTTCCTTTACTTTTATCATAAGTATTCAATGCAATAATTGCACCTTTGTCTTGTTGATTGTTACCGGGTTGTGATGGTTTTATTTGTAAAATCTTTTTACACACCGAGTAGTATCTTTCTTTTAAATCCTTTTTATATATTAAAAAAGTGAAAAGAAGGGTGAGTGAGGATTGATTTTTTTAAGAATTCTTGGACTATTAGTATTGCCATCATTATCTTTTAAATCACATATTAATATAAATATAAATTTTAATAAATTTTTACTTCAATAGTTCTAATCTTATTTGGGAAAATCATATCTATCATGTATAATAATAAACCTAAGATCATATTTTCTACACATATCAAACAGATAATCAGTTTCTTCCTTGGACCAATCTTGATCTAGAATAATAGATTATATATATATATATATGTAGATATATATGTGAAGATAAGATGCTGATATATAATGTGAATCTATATTTATACCTATTAGATATTTATTATATTTATCATCCTCATAACTCTTGATTTCAACAGAACAATTAAATCTAAAAAATGGATATATTTCTAGAAAAAAAGCTTGGCCTTAGATATTGTTTACAGCTTTAAATTAATCAATTAATTAAATAAATTACCCTGATCTTCAATATTTGAGACTTTTGTCCAATGTTTTAACTTTAGTCCATCATTCCTTGAATTATTAATAAATTCTTTACATTCCCTTTAGTGAATTTTAAATATTAATAAATAAATTTTTATATATTAATAAATCAATCAATTAATCAATCAATGGATTAATCAAATGTAGATTTATCACCATTGAACACCTTGATCCATCAATTTTGATCTAGTTTTTAGAGCAGGTCTCACAATTGCTACTGGAGATGATCTATCAATTAATTGAAATAATTTTTCAGTTAAAACATCTAAAATCACACACACACATATATATAACAGTGTAAGTACAATGAATGTCATTATGTCAAATATAAATAAACAAGTTATTAAAAAGTTCTTGTAATAAATCCTGTCTGCAAACTATTAAATTACCTGATTCATTGTTTACATTTTCAGGTTTAGAATAATGAATCATTTCCTACTGTTTTCGAAAGTTCTTGAATATCTTTATTGTCAAAATAAGTCTTATTTATTTATTTTCTTTTAGATCAATCAAAGAGAGCATGTAATTATTAAAATTGAAAAAGTTAGAAAAAAATCATTTATTAATTAAAATTAATTGAACATAATAAGATATATATAACATTGTAAAATAATTAGAAATTTCCAGTTTAAACCATTCTGTCAATATAACACGAAAATTTAACAAACCTTCTTTATCACACAAGAAAATTTATGAAAGGAAAGTTAAGCTACACACGAAACCATCACGTTCTATGAGTAGATCGATCCAAAATTTAAACGTTGCTCACCAATATGACCATCTTTATCAAATACAATAATAAAATTCATTGTTAATAATGGAATTGTTTTATTAGAATATATAAAATTTGAAAATTCATGATATTGATATTATTTCATGGTTTAAAATAACCTTTAATCATTAATATAAAACTGCTTTTGAAATAACATCTTGAGAAATGATATTAAGTAAAGTTGCAGAAGACTAAAGTATCACTGTAGAAGCATGATGGTTGAATATTAATAGTATATTAGCAAAAATTATGTTGGCTTGACCATTGATCATATCAATTAAATGCTCCTTGAATATAGAGTACCAAAATTATTATTTAGATTCAAAAGGTAAAATGTTTTAGCAATGATTATATACCTCTAAAGGAACTAATGAATTATCAGTTTAATGAATTATCAGCTTGGTGAATTGTGCAACAATGAAATTAAAATAATGAGAAATGGTGCAAGGATAACTGTCTGCATTACTGCATAGTAGTATATACACTTATAGTCATTTGTGTAGATGGTACAATAGATGAAACAAATTTTACAGTAATAACATCATGAACTCTGCCATATTGGAGCCAATAATTTTTTACTTTATTCATAAGATGTACCTTGGTCTCTGAATATAAGCAACCTCGACCACAAGATTTGGCCAAGAATTACATTAAAAATTTAAACCAATTCACTACAGAGAATAAACAAGTTCAAGAGTCCTGTATATCTTCACATTATACTCATCCTCTGTAGATTTATCAGCTGCCTATATACACACATCCATCTGGTTCTTTGCCTTTTCAACCCACTTTTGTTGCTTTTAGTCAAAGATAGTTAATAATTATATTTGGGATATTATGGCATTAACAATGACTGAAGAAAAATAGTCAAGTACTCACTCATTGTCCCCTAAAAAAAAAAGCATGCATCAGTGTCAATCACACTATTAACTGCAACATGTAATAAGCCATGATTTCATTGTGACAAACCTTATGAACTTCTGAAGGAAGTCCATATACATAAACTTTCCCATTCTCCCGCTCTCCACATTGCATGAATGTTATGTTTTGTTTATCAGTTCTTTCAGCATACTTGTCTCAATTAACATCAGTCATTAACTCATAAGGTAAACTTAACACGTAATGATCCAGTATATCAGTCACTAGCTCATAGGCATCCAATTAACAGCAATTCAAGCAAAAAAAGGACTTATGAAGTTTCCCCCATTTTGCTTTTGTGTGTATATTTCCTTGGACTCACCATAGTCATCGGAATAGTTCACAACAGTCTTTGGAATTGCCATATTTAAGAAAAGTTCTGGAGAGTTATCAAAAGATGAGGAAAGAAGAAGTACAGCTGCACATACATCTATCCACTTTTGGTCTGCTTCGTTAATGGAACTTGCTGTTTACGAAAAAAAATACACTATCACTATTATGTCTTAGAGATTTTAAAGTGAAATAAGCAATCATACGCCTTTTGAAATTGTCAAAGTCCTTCTATTAATATACTTAGAATCCGAGTCAGAATCATTCCACAAGTCTGCATGTTCACAGTTACAATAAGGATTAATATTTTAATATTTTAAACCACATTAATTATTACATCATTGTGTTGAGCTAATCATTTAAAGCTTAGCGACTATTTTTGATTTTTTTCACCATGTCTTTACTAAAATTAAAAAAACCATTTACAAAGCCATTCTGGAAACTTTCTTCTCACAGAATACCTGCTTTATCTCTTTACAAAACTCTAATTAAAACCACAAAATTATTTCCCAAAACAATTCATCAAAAATATTTATTTTATGCTATTCGTGAAAAATTTAGAATAAGAAGACATGAAACTTCCGTTGTTAAAACTATAGAGTATTTGAAAGAAGCCAAGGAGGCAAATAATCTTATATTATATACTCATATATTTTAAATAAAACCTTTTAATTTCATATATTTTTTATTTGTTTGTTTGTTTTAGTGTCAACTTACTTTACAAAAAGCACTTGACGGCGACAAACAAGCTTATCAACATATTGATGATTTGGCATGGGGTAGAAAAGGCAGGCTCAGAGAAGTTTTGGACCTTGTAATTTTTTTATATATGTAGATTTATTAATTTATAAAATACTTTATTTTTAATATAGACCTTTTTAAAAATTTTTTTTACAGTTGGAAAGATGGAATGGGGTAAATAAAATAAAATAAAAACCAAAATAAACAATCAAGTTATTCTCATCTCAACTTTACAAAATCAATTTTTTAAAAAAGTAAGGAAAATATATAATAATTATTGTATATAGAAAAGAGTCCATAAGCTTGTTTATGATACTCGGACACTTCAATCACGAACTGCTGATCCTCACTCTGCCTATAAGATCCCACTTGCTCCTACTTTGTATACACCTCCAAAATATCGTATCATAAAGAAAATCAAATGGCCAAAAAAGAAAAGACCTTATCGTAAAGTAATTAGGTATACAATTACCACCCAACTAGGCTATAAACTTTGGAGAGTTAGAGGTTGGAAACAACCTACTTGGATTTCTATGATGATGAATAAGCGTATCATAAAACATCAAAAGCACGTTGACAAATATCAGGAATTATTAGAATTGCTTGACATAGCTAGACATGAACAAAGATTTATGAGGTCCTTAGATCCTAATTTGGAAGAAGAGGCTAAAGGTTTTGGTATGTTTTTCAAATTGTTTATTTTTTTAGTAAAGGTTATTATTCATTAAATACTATCATTTTTTAAATAGATGAATTAGTACTACAAGAAATGAAGATTCATAAAAGATATTATGATAATATGATGAAAATAAGGGAAAAAACAGGATTTGATGATTAAAATATATCTATAATTGACTTTATATATACAAGAATTATTTAGTAAAAATGTATTTTTTTTTAATAATAATAATAATAATAATAATATTTATTATTTCCACAAAAACCAAAATATTGAGAATATTTTTTTGTTAAAAGAAATTTCCAAAAAATCTATACAGTAAATTGACTTGTAATAAATATCGCACCTTTTTTATCTATACACTTTAAGGTGGTTATTAATCAAAAATTGCATTTAGTTTTAATTATACAATGAGCCTTTGGATTTTCAGATCTAGTATCACTCAAAACAACTAAAAATTATCAGACCTGTGTAAATATTTATATTTTTAATCAACTTCTTAAATTAGTTATTACATATGTAAGCTTGATAAGTCGGTCATGTGGGGGTGAGCTCATATGACAAATTAAATTACTTAAATATTAAGAAAATGGGGTGAAAATTTTGGCGAGACTGACTTATTGAGTTTACATATGTATTATTATTAACTTTCATAAGGAAACTATCATTTGTCTGAATTGTTTAAAAAGCAATAAGCTGTTCTGCATTACACTAAATACTAAATGAAAGTTTGTAAATTGATTATTATTGGTGATGAATGTCAATCCAACCCTGAAGATTTTGTATCATCATGAAGTTTTAACCAAATAAGAAAAAACAATTATAAACGTAACCAGATTTTCCTTCTTTTAATATAAAAATTTTTAATTAAAAAAGCCTTCATGATAATAACTGCTTCTCATATAAATACTGTACTTGCACATGCTCAGTCAATAATGGCTGCACTTTTGCAATCATGATTGTATAAGATTTAATTGCTATCAAGAATATTGATATTAAGTATTGTGACTTGTATATATGAATTTTTTTTTTGAATAATTATGGGTTAGATCTACATTTTTACTATATATTAATATTGTTTAACAGAAATTTAGTGGATGAAATATTTATTTTCTAAGCTAAAATTAATCCTCGTGAGGAATTACATATTAATTCAAAATTACAATGTTTGTATATAGTTATCCTTGTTTCTGTAGAAAATTGAGTGCGCGGGACTGTGTTACATTAAAGGTAGCCAATAATCTATTAGCAGGATTCAGTGTATAACAGTCAGACGCGATCAACATGTCTACTTTAACATCTGCGCCTTTATCTACAGCCGAATCAATACAATCCTTCATGAAAATCCCTACACGAATTAAATCATTGCAATCTTCAAGTACATTTCCTTTCTCTGCAGAAGGAGTAACTTCTCCAACGAATAAAACTCCGTCTGTTTGTAATTGATGAATTGCTGATACTGTAAAGTTCCAATTTTCGTGCTTTGCTTTCTTTAAAACCCGTATTGGACCATTCAACCGTATGTTTGTCAGGTTTGTGGGAAAATCCTTTAATTTTGAACTGGGTAACATTTTTAATCCTTCCAAAATTATAAACCCTGAATTTCTTGCTGGCCTATTTTTAGGATCTGCCAAGAAAATCAGTTGAGACGAAATAATTTTTTAGTCTTTTCCAACTTCTCTTCTTCGGTTCCTGCCTCCTTTTCTACTTCCTTAATCTTGTCTTCTATTTTTAATAATTGTTCCGGATAGGCTCCTTTTCTACTTTCTAATGGTCACACTCACATGACTCATTAATTGATTGTTTTATAACTTTTCTAAATTTGGATTTATGTTCTGGATCTAACTCCTGTTTATTTTTTGGAGAAAGTTGTTTATCATATGTTTGAATAGGAATTTGGTGTACCCATAAAAATCGAAGTTATCGCTAAAATTTCACGAACGTTTGTCTCAACATATAGACCACATGTGTTGGAAAGTTCGATTGATTCATTTTTATATTCATCTCTGTTCTCCTACGAAGAAATCGTTTTCAAAATCCCTGCTTACAGAAGATAATTCACGAGGAACATTTCTAATGACAGTAATTTCTTCTTCCTCTTCCTCTTCATCATAATCATTATCGTTTATTAGTGGAGGCAGTTTTAGCATCCCAGTTGAACATGGTGTATGCTTATGACATAATGGATGGTCATTATTTAACCTAGGCTAATTTAAAAAGGGTATAAATTTTGTATTTACCCATTGAGCATTTAATGAAAACTAATAAATAAACTGGATAATTACTCTTTTCAATGAAGTTTCAAGACCATTTTCTTCACCAACAGCATCATTATAATAATGACAACCACTTTCCATAGTAGTAGATGTTAAATTATTTGTGTAAGTAGAAGAATTTTTTGTTTCTAAACTAGAGTGACGACGAGTGGCGACAACCACCACTCTTATGATAAACATTTACTCGTTTTCTCCTCTTTTTTCCTCTTCTTGGATTCTTTTTTTGTTGTTTCGTTGAGACATCTTCAAAAAAAAGAAAAAAAAAGAAAAAGGGGAATTATTGTTTTGATCGACATGTACATTTATCCTATTGGTTTTTTTTTGGGAGTACAGACACGAATTAATTTTTTTGACAGAGTCCAAGGTGGCCAAACGTGAGTGTTGTTGTTTGGTATGGTTTGGTTTGATTCTCCTAAAGAAGAAGTGTTAGAGGTACTATTTTTTGTATTAATATATATATTTTTACTTTGGTTTATAAATATTTTAATTGGAATCAAAACGTGGTGCAGAACTTGCTGGGTAATTATAAAGATTCTTATCAAGATGATAAACAAATGAACGATTGGTATTTTGCTTTTCGTAATTATTATTATTATTATTATTATTATTACAAATAATTAATTACAAGACAGTACACTGTTGAAAAAAAATAATTCACATTTCGATATGATTATCGGAAATTAGCAGACGTTGAAGCACGCTACACTACCTTGAACACTTACAGTCATTCTCACATCTTCCTTGTGTACACAAGACTAATCTGACCTCATCCCCTGACGATATGATGTTGCAATTAAATTTCCTGGGGAAGGGGTGTATGGCCTGGAGTTTACTGAGACTGCATCAATTGTCAATGACATCTTACCTAATCTTCCCTCACAGCACCCAGATCAGAGATGGCTGCTGCCACGTTACCTGAAAAGTCGCCTACCCCTAGGGTAAGGATGGCTCTGTGATCAAGTTGCAACTCTGGAGGAATATTTAGAGAATCTGCAATTCATTTCAAGCACAGGTTGCAATTCAGAGAAGGGTTGGTGACCCTGAAATTGCATTTGGACTCTGATGTTAGGAGGAAAGCTTACAGTGTGTCTCACAGTAATACATTCAAAATAATTGGTCTTCTTAAAATTGACGAGTCAAATTTTTGTGTAAGTTTGAAAAAAAAATCAACGTGAATTGATTATTCTAGTTAAAAGTTATCAAACCACATTAGTGATTGTATCTGTTGATTATCCGGGTGTTTGAATACTTGGTCATCAATAAAGCTCAACACCCGGATAATCAGTAAGTCAATAAAACTCAATACCTGGATAATTGGTCATTGATTTATAATAATTATTTATTTGTCAGGAAAAATATTTTCAATACATTGCATATTTTTTTTTTTAAGAAATACAAATAACAACGGATTCCATTTTATTCGCTTGGCTGTCATTGTGTTTCCAGCTTCACTAAATACAGTCAAACCTTGTCACAGCAGATGAATGAAGATTTATTTAAAACCCGTTGCGGCAAGATTTACTGATCTTGCTACAATGGATTTTTATGTTTTTTTGAATGTGAAGCAAAAATTTTAAAAATTCGTTATAATTATAGTCCTCTGTGACAAGGTTTAGCTGTAGACGCTCATTTGGAGTAGAAGTTACTGCAATGCATAAATATTCTTTAGATAATAATGACACAGTTGGTATTCATATTACTTGATATATTATCATAATAGAAAGAATGTTGGTGATAGTGTAATAGTGGATAAAATAGTATTTACATGTTAATGTATTAGTATTCTTTCAATTACGTGGATGTTTCTGTACCACCGATTATTATCCAGTGAAAATTTTCAACACCCGGATGATCGATGAATAATTGGTGAATATCATTCGGCAGGATACAATCACTAGTGACTTCGTAATAAACAACTCGGATCGCACACTCACAATATCTATTGCTATTACTATAAGTAAAATAATTACAGTTTTGCGGTCTTACTATTACGTACGACTTTTAATTTTTTTTTTTTAACGGAAATATTAAAACCTAAATATATTATTTTGTGTTTCCACCTGTGATATATATATTTGTGGCAAAAAGTTCTTTTTTTTTTGACAAATTATACGAATAAAATAAAAAATACAAATAAAATTTTGGATATGGAAAACACTTTGGACGAAAATAAATATCGTGATGACATTTTTACTGACAAAGATAATGATGATGAATATTCAAATAAAAGATATGAAGGATATGGGGAATGTCCAACCTGCAATAGATATAATACTAATTATTCATGGTGTCAATCATGTGATCCAAAGCTATTAACTAAAGGGTGGGCTAGTGGCAATGAAACATTAGATGAGTTGATTAAAAGTACACAACTTAAAGCAATCATGTATGATAATGAAGATTATCTTCAATGGATTCCCTATAATGATTTAACAAATATTGAAAAGATAGGTGAAGGTGGTTTTGCAACTATATACAAAGCTACTTGGTTAAATGGTTATAAATATGGAAATGATGAAAATTACAAAAGAATTAATAGTGATAGGACTGTGGCATTAAAAAAATTACATAATTCACAGAATATTTCTGACGAATTTCTTAATGAGGTAAATTATTTTATTAATGATGGTTCAAATTTTTTTAATCATTATTGTTGTAATTAAATATTTTATTTGTCATTTAGTTCAAAAATTACATGAAGTTTCATGATAAAGCAGATATAATTCATATTTATGGATTAACACAAGATTCAATTACAAAAGAATATGTATTTGTGATGAAATATATAGATGGTGGAAGTCTTCAAAATTATTTAACTAAAGATTTTAAAGGTTTAAAATGGAAACAGAAAATTGAAATTCTTAGACAAATTATTAGAGGTTTAGAATTTATTCATGAAGAAGGAATTATTCATCATGATCTTCATAGTGGCAACATTCTTCAAACTAAATATAAAAATTATATGCAGTCATATATTACAGACTTGGGATTATCATGTTCAGCTAGTCAAACGTCTGCATCAAACAAAAATGATATATTTGGAGTACTACCATATGTTGCACCAGAAGTTTTAAGGGAGAAACCATATACAAAAGCATCAGATATACACAGTTTTGGAGTTCTGATGTCTGTAGTATCAACTGGCCAACAACCTTTTAATAATTTGGCACATGATGTAGATCTTGCAATGAAAATATGTGGAGGTGCAAGACCAGGATTCTCAAACAACACACCAAAATTCTATATTGAACTAGCATTCAGATGCATGGATGCTAATCCAGATAAACGTCCAACTGCTGATGAAATTTATAAGATTATTGAATTTTGGTATAGTTCATTTGAATATTCCAAAGCTAAAATTTGGTATAGTTCATATAGATATTCAAAGGAAGAGCATGATAAATTAAAATCAATTAGGAAAATTTTTGATGAAATGGATGAAATAAAATTTGATCCTTCAACAATTACTACAGTAATTCATCCAAATGCTGTTTATACTAGCAGACTATTAAAATTTACAAGCCTTCCCCAACCTGTGAATTCCAATAAAGTAACAATTATTGGCAATAATAATGGTAATTATTAACATTAATCATTGATTATTTTCATTTTTATTAACATTCACTCTTGTTTGTAAATTTTTTTTTTAGATTCTCAACAGATTGAATTATATCAGATGAATTAATTACCTGAATAAATTAATCTTGTCATTTTATTATGTATTAAAATTAAAATTAAAATTAAAATTATTTTTTTTTACTATAGTTGTGATATTAAAAAATACCTTGAGAATTGAAGTATTCATACACCTATTTTTAATCATCATGCAAAAACTCGCATAATAACTACAGCCAGACCTCCATAAATGCACACACTCCATACTCTGCACTTCACGGTATTTTATATGAAAACTCTCTCCATAAATGCAACCCACGTGACTAATGTATAAAATTCATCATGTTACTAGGATAAATTTAGAAATCATCAACATAAATTTTTGATTTAATTGGATAATTTCTAAAATACAAGTCACTCCCGTTATAATGATTATAATGACAATCTTGTTATAATGACATTTTTTTAAAAACCAAATTTATAAATACAAATTTTGTCCATGTAATTTTAAAATTCTAAATAAATTAATAACCCTATAAATAACTATAAATCAGTCCCTTATAAT